AGATGCCCGTGCACGCACTGCGGATCTGCTGCCTATTCCTGGGCTGAGCCTGTACAGGCTGCTCCATCACCCTCATGACCCAGCTCATAATGAGCACATCTGCCATTAATTTGGGTGTCAAGAGAAATTCCACTCATTTGCTTTTAATTAATATGGCCATAAAATAAAGCCGGGGCCTTGCAGGAGGTGTCTGCACCAATGTCAGAGGACAACCAGAGCCCAGCAAACGGAAGAGCAGTTGGGTTGGAGAAGAGGAGATGGTTATAGGATGAAAGAGAGGGAATTGGGGGGGGGGGGGGGGGGGTGAGGAGGGAAATCCCAGCAAAAGCACTTCTGGCCTCAGCATTGAGTGTCCCAAAATACAAACCTTGAGTCACCAGAGCTCAGCCCTCACAACACAAACTGCACCCGCAGCATCCAGCCTACCACAGACACGGAGGAGGGGATTCACCACGCACCTGTGACTGAGTTATCTCCCTCAGGAGCCAGAGGGAGCAGACTTGCACCCTAAAGCCTTGTCTCTGCCTTCTCAAGGGACCCCAGGTAAGCAGTTCACGTGCAGAGATCTTCCTTCCCGATCCCTGCATCCACAACGCACGTGGAGGAAGCAGATCCGGAGCAGAACACATCACTCATCTGGACGGGCACAAATCTTCCATCTCCCTTCCCATCCCCAGAGGACGAATGAACCTGCGAAACCAGCGCCCGCAGGAGCTCTCGGGACCAGCTGAGGAGCTCCCATTGAAGCAGTCCCGGGTTCAGAAGGGGAACGGGCTCGGGTTTGACCGGATTCCCCGTGGGGGACACCGGGGCCGGGCCCGCCCGCAGGCCCCGCACGTCCGAGCATTGCCAAGACCGGGCGGCTCCAGGCGTTCCCTCCCCGCACATCCCCTCGCAGCAGCGCGCTCCAGGCGGGGCAGGACGCGGCCCGGCGCCGGCAGGAATCGCGCTGCGGAGCGGCCCTGGTGCCGCGGGGAGCGCAGCCGGGAGCCAGGAAACCCAAACCCCGGTGGCACAGAGCGAGCGGGAGCACGGGGATGGCCCAGCCCGGCCCAGCCCCGCTGCCAGCAGCCGCTGGGCCAGGAGGGTTTAACCAAAGGCAGCCAGCACCAACCCGGCCCCCAGGCACTGTTTCACCGTAGTGAGACGCTAAAGAACCACCCCAACAGCGTTCTCCTTGCAGAGCCCCCACCGCAGCCACAAGAGGATTCAGTCTCCTTCCTCAATCTCCCCCTTCGGTTTCACTCCATTCTATTGCTTCTTCCCATCGATATCCCAGATGTTTACACTGCTGTTGTTATCCCACAGCTCCAACCCAATGCCCCATTCACCAGCAGCACTGAGGAGCTCCCAAGCCATGAGACCTGCTCAGAGACTCCTGAGCAGCCATAGAGAAAAGCATCCTTGGCAATAAGGAAAGGCAAAGCTTTACAACACGGCAGCACTGAGTTGTTGGGAACCAGAGAATGAATACACCCAGAAAAGCTCATTTCCAGCAAACAGAGGGTTAAAGGAAGAGATGTGCATGGGCTTACTTGGGAAGGACGCTGGAGCTCTAGTCCCGGAGTTTCTATTAGAGGAGGTTTCATGCATTACAAAGCGATTTTCCCTTCCCTCCTTCATAAGCCAATTAGATAAAGACCAAGTTAATCCCTTATTGTGTTCAGAGAGCCACAAGTAGACACCAAACACAGAGATTAGGCCCTTGTTCAACCCCTGCCCAGCCTGGCAGCCAGGAGCAGGGTGAGCCCTGAGCCCAGCGGAACAGAGCCTGGGCCTGGGGGGGGGTGCAAGGTTCCCCCCATCACAGCAACCCCCATCCTGCACCCGAACCCCTCGCGGGTGACTTCAATCTCAGGGGGTTCCCTGCATTCAGAATGAGACCAGTGCTGGGACACAGCGGCTCTCCTGCAGGACTGCACAGGCCTCCCAGGTACCAAAGAGGGAAGAGGCAAACCCCAGCTGCAGAGCCAGAACAGTGAGACCCCCACGTCCTGACTGAGAACCTGGGTTTGACACGGCCCAGCTCGCCCCTTTTGCTGCCTGGCCCCCAGTGACCAGCCCTGCCCAACCTGCTCGGGGCAAACCCCGACCAGAAGCACTCACTCACCGATGCGTTAGAGCCGCAGGCACTCACCCGCTCCAACAGCGGAGCCAGCTCAGAGGGACCAAACCCCACACGCTGAGGAGCCTCCTCCTCCAGCAGAGCATCCCCAGAGCACGGCCCCATCAGCCCCCTGCTCGGGCACAGCTGACCCCAGGGAGGTGCTCAGCACCCTAAGGTCAATCTGCAGCAGGAGTGGTGTGAGTTTGGGAGGAGCCTGGGCCGGTGCTGGCTGCTCCCTGGGCCAGCAAAGCCTGGACCAAGGTAAGCAGCAAACCCAGGTGGATTTCTCTGGTGCTCTGCCCATGAGAGTGAAGAAACAGGAGTCCCCTGCCCACAGGTGCCTTCTGGGCCACAATCTGTGCAGGCTCCAGCAGCCCCTGTGATGTTTCTGCTTCATGGTGGGGTGGGAATGAGAAATGGATGAACTGGTTGGTGCTGCCAGTGGTCCCAGGCTCCTGGGAGGAGCTGGGAAAGGCCCCACACCAGTAAGCACTCACTGGTTCATCCCCCTGCTCTCAGCAGTGTGGGGGGCCTGCAGGGCTCACCCCAATCCATCAACTTTGGCAGAAAGGGAATGGAGAGCTGGAGCCCCTCAGTGTGTGCTGAGGCGGGGGGCACAGGAGGTGCTTTCAGAGGGTGCTGGGCTCCCACCCAGCAGAGCTCCACGTGCAGACACCCATGCACAGCAAACCCTTCCTCCTTAAGCCAGACCGAGCTTCCCCTCGCAGGGAGAGTGGCCAGAGCTGCTCAGTACAAGAGTAATTCTCCTCCCTGACAAGGGCATCCCGGCTGCAGCAGCTCCTTCTCCCATTCCTCCAGGTGTGGGTCATTGCCAGCATCCCCTCCACATCCCACCTGGGCCGGGATGCAGCATCTGGACCTCTCCCAGAGCATTCCCTTCTTTCACTGCTTCCTCACGCTGGCAGGCAGCACAGTTGCCTTTTAGGAGGCTCCGTCTCCAACCTGCTCCCTCGGGATGGGAGACACGGCTGTGCCAGAGGAGGTGCTGCCTCCACATCCCCTTCCCTGCCACCCCCCTCCTACACCCCTCCAGCAGTGCCCAGGCTGCCCCTCTGATCCCCCCACATCACTGGGATCAAGGAGCTTCCACTGCAGCATTTCCTTCCTTCCCACTCTCTGCCCACCCACAGACCAACCTCCTGCATGAAAAGGGCTTTGAGGCTTCCCAGGAGGCATGGGGCTGCCCCCGGGGCCTGGGAACTGCAGCTGCCGCTGGCTTTGTGTTTCAGAGCACATCCCTCAGGAGGGGTTTCTGGGAAGCACCGGGGCAGCACCTTCAGCATCCCCAGGGACCGGCCCGGAGCTCCCCGTACAGCCCCTGGGGGAGCTTCCTTGGCGCTTCCTCCCTCTGTGCCACCTGCATTCCGGGGTGTAGCACTGAAGGAGGAACCAGCTGAGGTTCTGGCTGAGCAGATGCTGCACAGGCACATGAAAGGGGCCGAAGTCCTCACACCCACCACAGCACGGAGACCGAGCAGTGAGAGAAGAGCAACAGAAGCTGCAAGAGAAATTTATGCAAAGTGAAGCACTTGGCAGCATCTAAACCAGCCCCAGGAGCCCTGACCCCCAGCACCCCCCTCCTGTCCTGGGAAAACTGCTCTCTTGCTCCTCAGCCTGGAATCTTACACAGCTGTGGCTTTTTACATCAACATGCCAGAGTTTTGGCTCCTGTCTCTGCTCCTGCTGTTCTTCAGGACCAGTCAGGAACAACCTGCCAAATAGAACCAGGAACCCCAAGCAGGAACACTTGAGCTGCGCAGACTGGAGGAGCCTCATTGCATTGATTCAGGGATAGAAGCTGTTTGCTCAGTGCTCTGCTGCTACAGCAAAGCTTCACAAATGGATTAACTGGCGGGTGCTGGTGTACGCTGGGCAGTGAAAACCACACACAAGTGCTCCTGGTCCACTCCAACTGCAGAACCTCTGGCCTGGGACTGCCTGCGCTGACTGACTGGTGTATGGGAAGGACCCTCCTCCCCATCCTCCTTGGTGGGAAATTCTCCTCTCTCCTGAGATGCTGTTTCTTCAGGAAGAGCTGGTCTGCACCAAGTGCTCTGCCTCAGCCCTGCAGAGGGTGACAGCAACACCGGGTACCACAGTGCCCCTCCAGCTGAGCCGTGCAATGCAGAGCACGTTCCTACCACCACTGGAGCACCGTGTCCCCAGCACAGACATCACCCAGACACAGCCACCGAGCGTGGTGGCCGCTGTGTGGCACAGGGCACGCAGGAGGCACTGGCACCAGGGACAGGAGCTCTCCTGTACCAGAGCTCAGACCTCACAGCTCTCCCAGCAGCCTCTTGGCTCCGTTTCTCTGCATGAGTCACTCGCCCACCTCAAAGCCGGCGTCCTCGGCCCGTCTGTCGGGACCAGCCGGAGCTTCTGTTCCCCGGAGACGTGCAGAGGGAATAACGTGAGCACAGGGGTGGAAGCTGCTCCAGAATGATGAGAAGGGAAGTGTCTGTACCACAGAGGGGTGGTGGGAGCCAAAGGCCAGCGCTGGAGTTGGTTTAGAACTCTGTTAAGTGCCTCAGCATCTCTTTGTAAGTCACCTCCTGGCATTTCCCCAGTACTCAAGCCAGTTGTTGCAAACTTACAAGGGTATTTACTTACACAAATATTTTTACAATGCTTAAAAATAAACCCTGAGAAATATATTCTAAACATTATCCTTCAACAGAAGCTGGTGCCTGCCCCATTGAACCATGCACCATGTCCTGACTGACATGGCCTTGCACTGCTCTCCCCTGGGATGGCATTTGACAGACCCACAGTCTTGGTGGAGGAGAGGATCCAGTGAAGAGCAGTCCTGCATTTTCTTCTGGCATCATCCTAATCATCTAGTCCAGCCTCCTTTTCTCTGCTAGCAACAAACAAGGAAGACAAGGAAGGGTCAGAAAAGAAAGTAGAAAGCAAGAAGACCTCATCACTAAGTCACTTGGTGAATAAGGGGCTCACATTCACAGGTTTTGAGACACATGGCCATAAATGGGATGAGTTTAGTTTTGCTGTTGCACAGACCTCCAAACCAGCTAAGCCTTTCTGTGCGCTGCGGCACCTGCCACGGCAGGAAGGTGTTAGAGACAAAGCTCCAGCACAAACCGGGGATGCCCAGCCTGGCTCTGCACAGGGCTACCCCATGGCCTGGCCATGCTGTGCAACTGCTATGAGTAGTAGAGCAGAGAAAGCTTCTTCTTTCACCTCTGCCTGCATGACCCAAAGAATAATGGAGCTGAGCAGAGCACAATGAGTTGCACCATCCGGCTGTCCTACGGAATCTGTCAGAGCTGCCCCAGTCAGTGTAAGTAATCACTCACTACTGCCACCACAACCTTCACTGCTCCTGGTCCATCAGGACCCCCAGAGCACGGCAGGCTCTGGGTCTTGACATGCTTCATTCATCCCCGAGCAGCTCTTGAGGGAGGGCTCTCTGGTGCCTGGTACTGGTGTAGGTCTGAACCCAACAGCGCTCTTGTGAATGGTGCTGAGGAGGCAGCGTAGCCACAACACAAAGGAGCTCCTATACACCTCAATGGACTTGCTACGGATATACACTAATCAGAGCAGCCACTGGCCCACGTTATGTAAGGGGGGGGGGGGCCGGGGCTGGCCCTCCCCTGCTCTCCGGGGGCAGAAGCCAGCTCCCCACAGGGTATTTCTGTCCCCTCGTGTCACACCTGTAGGCGTTGGTGCTTATTGCAGGCACCGGAAACGCACCAAATCCCCAACGACCTTCCCCAGCCTGGGACACGGCACCCAGCAGAGAGGTGTGCGAGGAACCATCACCAGAAATCACCCTCCGTGGAGGCAGCAAACGTCCTGATGTCACTTGAGCTCACCTTGTTACCCAGCCTGTCCCTTTAATGCCATTACTGAAGATCATTACATGAGCAGATCCCTTTGGGGAGGCAGCTGCCCACACACCCACCTCAGCGCCCCAGAAGACACGACCTCCAGCGGTGAACACAGCTGCTTCCGAATGTACTCCCTCGATCTAATGTCAGCCTGGAATTAAGGAGGAAAAGGAGTGAAAATGGATTGATCAGCCTGCTCAGGGCCTCCCCTTTCCCATCTCAGAATGCCCCTGCACACCCCATCACAAATAGCTCTTGTAGGACTGTGGTGTGAAGAGGAACCTGCATGTTTCTTTCCTTGTTTGGTTTCTGTGCCTCACTGCAAGCTGCTTGGGAGAATGGAGACTTGAAATGAAGAAACAGAGGGTGCTGGACCAAAAGCCATACTGCAGTTACGGTCCATTTCAGAAGCAGAAATGACATCTGCTGAACCCTTGCTGTCTGCTCCTTTACTCCTCGCTGGAGTCCCAGGGTGGGTGAGACATCAGGCTCAGACAGTTGCCACCAGCAGCTGTCTAAGGTCTGCTCCACCGTGACCCACCCCAATCACAGCAGGAGGAACAGCCAAAGCAGGACCCAGCCTGGACTTCCCCAGCAAATCAGCTGCTGCTGAGTGCCATCAGCCTCGCCCAAGGGTCCCTCTGGGACCCAGAGGATGAGCTAGCACAGGCTTCCAGCATGCACTGCAACGCAGCGAGCCTTCATGCTGTACCTGAACTGCTGCCCTCTCTGATGAACCCTGGCAGCAGAGCCAGACTGGAGGAGACCTGGGAGTCTGAGACTGGTCCAGTGCTTTCATCCTTTGAACTGACCCAAATGACCCTTCCACACGTAAGCACCTCCAAGTGCAATGCAGGGAAACATAATGAGCAGCAAAGCTCCTTCACAGGCCTTCCCCAGCAACAGCTCATCAATGTCTGATGAGAGACGGAACGGACTTGTTAGAGACTTGAGGGCAGGGTAAGTCTTCCTTCCCTCAAGAGGAGACATTCCAGAAAGTAAACCAGCTCTCCCACTGAACGCACAGAAGCTGCCCTACCACCCTCACTCCATCAAGGGATCACATGCTCTGATCGCTTGGGAGTACAGCAGTCCAGAAGGCGAGTTTTCAAGAGGACATGGGATGAAGAGAGAGAAGCTGGCATCGCCCATTCATGTACTCATCCTTTCCTTCCTCTGTTCCAGCAGTTGTGCTGTGCAGCAACAGATGGAGGAAGCTCACCACTCATCTGCTGCATCTCCTGTTCCTAGGCAAAGCTTGGCTCATCCTGCCTGTGCACTCGAGGGGCTGGCACTGCATGGGGATTGTGCAGCTAAAGCAGGTAAAACACCCACTGGAAACCAACAGAGACAAGACACAAGCACATCCCTGGCAGCAGCTGCAAGGCAGGAGACTGACACACCTTTCACACTGTTGTACTCAGGAGTCCAAAGGCAAAGCTGCCAAGGAAGACAACGGGAGCAGTTTACATGCAGGCCATACCTGTGCTCTGGGCTCTGTTTTCCCATACCAGAATCAAAAGGAATAATGTTGAGACCCTACCAAATTGATGTTTACTGCCCTCCCTGTTGAAACTGAGCTTGGAGCCATCACCAAACCTCATCAAAACCATCCTTACACGGGTCCAGCTCCTCCCTTCCTCTTCCAACATGCTCTCCTGTGACTCCTGAGCTCACCAGGAAAACGAGATGGCTGTGTCTTAGCACTCTGTGTCTCAGCAGCAAGGCAGAGTGGGGCAAAGACAGCACCAACAGAAATCCCAAGAGCTGGAAGAAAGTGCTGCTGGAGATTTACAGCATGTTCTTACTCCCAGAAGTGTTACCGTGCAGCTTTCCAGTGCTGCACCATGCTAGCAGAGCACTCCAAGATGCTCACGAGCACGTGGATCCTGGGCTCTGGAGGACTTTGGGAATTGGCAGGTGATTTTTACATTCCCTCAAAGGTTTCTGTCTTTTTTAGAAACTTCCTTTCTCAAAACCACTGCTGCTCTGTGGCATTTAGAACCGCTGCTGTACCCCTCCTCAGAGGCAGAGTGTCTCTCTCCACTTAAAAAGCAGTATGTGACCTTTCCAGCTGGGAAAGCTTCAGAGCACACCATGATCATGCTAATAAAGGGGGTTAATGCATCCCCCAGTGGCAGTGAAGCATTTGCTACTCCCACCCCTGTGCTACTTATGAAGAGCTTTTCCCCCCCTCCAGAAGCTCCCCAGCACGGCTCCGTCAGGCCTCTGGGGTGGTGGCTCTGTGGGCTCAGGGCTGGAAACACTCATCCACCACTGCTTAACCATCTGCAAGCCTGAGAATGAAACACAGTTACATAAGGGATGGTTTGTTTGGGAGATTTTTTTTTTCCCTTCTCTCTATAATTGGACAGTTTCATAACTGAACTGACAAATAACTTTGATCACTCTTCAGGATAAGAGATTACGTGATGTATTTTATAACAGGGAAGGAGGTTGTTCAATAAAGCCCCTACTGGGAGACCAAGGTAGCAAGAGTCACATCTACAAACCACTTTTCTAGGGAAGAAAACCCTACCACGTTGTGCTGGTCACATAAGCCAGTGCCTGATTAGGTAGCAAGTTACTGGCCAGTCCTCACTCCTAACACAGTGCTGAGGCACAGCTTAACCCAGCGATTAACCAGGAGGCTCATCAATAAGATGGATAACTGTCCAGAAATAATCCTCACAGGCTGTTTCTATTTTCAGAAGGAACTAGTCCTAGCATTAGGGTCTGGAACTGTTGCTTTGCCTGTTTTGTGAGGGGCAGCGGTGATCCCTGTGCACACAGCAAGCTGGGTGGGGGTACAACTGAAGAGAGTTGGAGTTTCAGGGCATCAGCTACTGATTTCCCTGCTGGGCAGCAGGAGTTCTTCATGCAAAGAGGAATGATGGCTCATTCCTTGGTTCTCCTAAGGGCATGTGTTTGATATTTCACATGAAGTGCCATACCCACAGCTCCAGGCAGGCTCCTGGCCTCCCTGGTGGGCTGGAGCAACCAGGCTGTCCCACCAGCCCCATTCTGAGCCAGTAGAGGCAAGGTGCCAGCTGGAGCTAAAAGGATCATCAAGTGAGCTGGAGGCTGCTGTGCAGCCAGCCAGGAACCTGGAGCAGGGAGAGCCAGAGTCAGACCCAGTGCAATCCTCTCAGCTGGAGAGTGTTAAAAGCTGCTGTTGCCCTGCTGTGTGTAGTGATCCTGGCTCTGAGCAGGCCGGGAGCGTGGGCAAGCACTGGAGAGGGCCTCTGACCTCTGCCAGAAGCAGGCAAGGGCAGTTGCTCTCTGGAGGGCTCTGTATGGCTCCATTGCCACTCGGTTTGAGTGCTTTGCTTATTGTCCTGGGATGACAGCTCCTGCCTACCTCAGTCCCTGTCTGGCTGTCTCCATATGACCAACTCTCTACAGAAGAACCTCAACATCTCACAAGAGATCACCCCCATGCAAGCAAAATTCTCCCAGATTGGCCTGGTACTTCCACATGGAGCAAGGACTAAGTGGGAGGTAAATACTGACTGCTTTCTCAGAGAGATCACTTCTCTCACCTTTGGCAGCATGGCCACAGTGTGGGCTGAATGCAAATCAAACCACTTCTGATCACTGCCTGGAGGCTGTTGCATGCACAATACACCCTGAACAGATGGGTCAGCCATACCTCTAGGAAAGCAGGTCTGAGCTCCCACAAGAGCTTCCTAGCACTACATGTGCTGCAGCATACAAGCTATAAGCCCAGCCCTCAAGAAGGTATGGGCAGCACAGCTCTGTTAAGAACATACTTCCAGGACTACCAGAACTTACAAGCTAAGAGCTGCTGATTCAGAAGTCTTTCACGAGTGAGAAAGCCATAAGCACCCTCACCCATCAGGTCTGCAAGCTTGCGCTGGGGACACACCACAGCAAAAGGCCAAGGCAGGATCCCCCACAGCCATCCACTTCCTAAGTCCAGCTTGAGGTGCTCCAGAGCTGAGGCTTCCAGCACTACTCTGTGTCAAGATCTGTGAGTTACCACACAGAGGAACTGCAACAGGGAGAAGTCCCATTTTAAGTGCCCTTTTCTCCTGCCATCCCTCTACCTCTACAGTAAACACACTCCCTTCTGGATTTTTAATCTCTGTAAGGAAAGTGACAATTCATTCCATCACTCCAAATCAAGATTGCAGCTAGAGGACTGGGAGAGTCTCAGAACACAGACAAATCCTAGATAGCTGGAAATGAAATGAGGGTGATGAAAAGCTTCAAGACACCTTTTTGTTTCCAAAGGGAATGCCTTTCCCCTTCCCTCTGAGCATGCCGCTTTGCAGAGCTGGCTCAGAGCTGGCTCAGAGCTCTGCAGAGGCATCTGTCCCTTGCTGGAGGAGATTACATAAGAAAATCTCTCAGCCTACTCCCGTCTGGCAGGTAGTGGTTTATGGGATTAGAAACCCCCGTTCTGGTATGGACACTTCAAGGTTTGTTTTGCTCTGAGGTGTTAGATTTGTGTCTGGTTTATAACTACAGACTCAAGGCTCTGTTTTGAGAAAACATGTTCTGCAGCACCAACGAGAAGCTCCAGTGTGCAGACTGCGTAACAGCCCCAGCAGCATCACCTTAGCATGGCTCTGAGGAGCTGCAGAGCAAAGGTGGCCACACACCTGACAAGTGCGGTGCTGCAGCAACGTGAACAGTGTGTTCCAGGGCAACAGCACCACCACGGACATTCCAACAGGCCCTGCTCTGGCCTGCCTGAGCCACTAACAGCGGGGTGACCCTGCAAGAAGGGAAGCACTCGCCAGGCTGAAGTCCCAGAGGCTTTACACTTCCACAGATCCTTTCCTCAAACCCTGCTGTGATTTAATTAGTCTGAAGCTGAGTCTTGGTGATAGCTGCGGCTCACTGATGGTGATCCAGTGCTGTCACCTACAGGCTGGCTGCTGCCCCAGAGCCTCCAGGTCCTTGTGGAGTGTAGTAGCAGGGAAAAGCCCAGAGAAGCAACCCCACAGTCTGTGCTAGGCTCAGAGTGCCCAGGAAAACTGCATTTCCAGCATGTGTATTAACATCAGCATCACAGCAGTTGCCTGCAGAAAGGAACCAAGAGATCAGTCAGGCTGGGTCTGCAGTAAGGGCTGGATGTGCTTGGGGGCACTGCGTCACCACAGCAGTCTGGGAGAACAGGTTAGAACAGAGGGTGCCAGCTGCAGAGGCCCTTAAACATCGTGACAGGCTCGGCACCCACAGCCCCTCCACCGCTCGCTCTTCTGCTCCAGGCTGCTCCTCAGCTCCCTGCTCCCGTACCTGGCGGATGGGCTCCGGGATGCGGTACCGGCAGCAGGACTGGACCAGGCGCACAGCTGTCCCCAGGCACACCCTGTGCCCCACTGAGACGTAAAGCGGCCTAGAGCTGTTGTTGCAGCTACGCAGGACCTGTGCATCCAGAAACAAGAAAGATCAAATACTTAAGCAGCTTATTTTAACAGCGAGAGTGGCAGTTGAATTACAAGCCAGTTGCCAAATACAGAGCCACCATCCCACCTTCTGAAGGCAACTCCCAGCTTTCTTGAACCTCTTCTGTTAGCCCTTTTGGCCTGCTGTAGCCCTTTCCCAGATGCCTCACGCTGCTCTGGGAACAGAGCTGCTAATGCAAACTGTGCTGAAATCCCACCAGACACAGGAAGTTTCTTACACCTGCCTGTTTCCTGCACAGAGCTCTCCTGAGGCAGATACTCCCATACTGCACCTTGGTGAGAACTGGCACCTCTCCCTGACCGCAGTTCATGAACAGGGGTGCTGGAGCACAGCACCTCAGACACTGCAGCCATGGATGTGAATACATCCATGGTCTCAACTGTCAACTCTGCAAGCAGCTGAGCTCGCAGAAAGAGGGAAGCAGGGGTGGCAGTAACCTGTTCACACTGAGACAGTGCCACTGTAGAGACAACACCCTCCTGTGCTCCCAGCACACAAAGCTGGAAGACTTGATGGCCAAGCAAATAGGAAATTCCACACTGCTTACCATGCCCAGCAGCCTCCCCGAAGCGCCTGTCAGTGGGAATGTATCTCCTTCCCTCTGCAGGGAACGGATCTAGGGATGAACACACACAAACTCAGCTGGTCAGGAAGTGCTTGTATGCTGCTGTCCCAGTTCTTTGGGGAAATAAATTCCCAGCCTGGCCTCACCTGCTCTCTGTGCAGCTCATCCTTGGCTAAGCCATCCACCTGCAGGAGGTTCTTGGCCACTCCAATGCATGGTAGATCTGTCAGGACTCCGAGGTGACAAGCCACACCAAACCCTGCCAACAACGAGTCACTGTAACCGCAGGATGCCAGAGAACTGGAATCTCAAGCAGCAGCACAGGGACCCTGCAGAGCGGGGCTCTCCAGTGAAGTCCTACCTCTGGGATGGAGCAGGCCATTCCCATCTACAAGAAGTACCTGAAAAGGCCAGAACAGAAATGTTATTTCCTGTGCACTGAGCACCACTCTGTCAAGCAAACTGGTCCTGTGAGGAAGAAGACTCTCTCCATCTCAGCTCAGGACAGAGAAATGTGCCACACCTGAGGCTTGAGCTTGGGCTCCTCCTGCTGAAGCCTCTGAACAGCTTCCACCAGGAAAGGGACCTCCCGGAAGGCCAAGAATCCTGCCACGTACGGGGCACTCACAGCCACCATCCGGCAATCCTCGTACAGCACCTGGGAGCAGAGCAGAGCCGAGCCAGTGACCACCAGGACTTTGTGGTCTGTTCCTGGCTGCTTCAGAGGCCTCTCCCCTGGTTTACATCCCATCTGTTTTAAAATACACAGCTTCTGAGTCTCTCCCCCAGAGCTGAGGCCATTGGGTTGTGTCAGCCTCTCAGTGACAGAAGGGGTGGACAATGGACCGCTGAGAGGAGGGCTGGACATCACCGTACCCTGCTTGAGAGCAGAGTCCTTGGGAAAACATTAGGGCAGCTCTTTAAACTGACAGAGGGGGGAGCTCAAAGTTCACCCGCTCAGAGCATCATCAAAGGGTATCTGGCTCCATGCAGGGCAAGCCCAAAGCATCCCTGTCAGCCCAGACAACACCCACAAGTGCACAGGGCAAGGCAAGAAGCAAGGCAGGATTTGAACTTCAGTTCATAAACCTCCCAGTGGCCAGCATCAAACTTTATTTCCATCTTGTTAGAGGTTTTATAGTTAAAGATAACTTTTATATCACATTGAAAGCTGGGAAAGAAACCAAAAATCTTTATTAATTCAAGTAAAATGACTGTGGGGCGTGGGACTGATGGCGGTTTTGAAAGGCTTTTACATGTTACATCCCATATTATTAGCTGATTCCCAGCAAGAACTCAGAACCAAGACAGCTGCAGTTTGAGTGCTACACATGCTTTAATTCCCTCTCTTGATCAGCACTGAATAACAATGGTCCTTTTCATCTCCTTCTGAGTAGTGGCTGAGGCCGATTCTTTCCAGCACACACTTAAATCAGTTAAAGTCTTCTGTGCTGACCATGGAGCCCATCTCATGATGTCACTAAGCCAAGCAATAGCTAACCTGAACGCATGCCAAAGCTCTCTCCTCACCTTGTACGTTCCCGGTAGTCCTACAACCCTCGTGCAGTCAGGAGCAGCTGACACCCCACCCTGCCAAGCTTACCCAGCAGCACAGAGTGCTCTGGGCTGGAAGGGACTGATGGCCTTTGTGTAGGTTTGCTATAACCGCCCTCCCGCTGTTCCACACCCGGACACAAGCCTTCGGAGCCAGGGTTACCTCAAGAGCCGGGTAGCTGAGCACGACCAGGGAAGCGCAGGCGCTGCTCTCATCTCCTCTGATGTAAGACAAGTCCACGCCTCCCACCCGCTCCAGCCCCGGGAAGCTGGAATCTTTCTGCCACTGCTCCGTGTCCTCCTCGACCACGCTGGCTCTCAGCCGGGCCTGCTCCCTGAGAACCAGCACCCAGCCGCCGTGACCGGGTGCCTCTCCCCCGGCTCCCGGCCCTGCCCATCCGGCTCCAAGGCTGTGCCCCAAGGCCGGCAGACGCAGGGGGAGCCCCCAGGCCCCAGCTCTGAGGCAGAGCTCAAGGGGCCGCAGGGTCTGTGGGGACAGGGGAGGCCCTGCGCTTTCTCCTCAAGGGAGGAGCTGCCCACGGCAACACCCCTCATGAGGGGCAGGGCTGAGCGGGGCAGGGGGTGAAGGCATCCTGGGCCTGGCCGGGGAAGGGGACCCCAGCCCGGTACCGCGGGGCAGCGGACAGGGGCCCCGCCGCGGAACGCAGTGGCGCACGGTTGCCATGGCCACCACCCCCCCCGTTCCTCCCCCCGCGCATGCGCAGGCCGCGCCGTTGCCGTTACCGTTCCCAACGGCGGAGCGCAGCGGGCGGTGGCGCCGCCGCCATGGCGCACACCGGAAGCCCGCGTCACCGCCCGCGTCACCGGAGCGCGGCCGGGAAGAACGGGAGGAGCCGCGGGAGAGAGAAGGCGCTTTATTGGGAAACAGCGCCGGGGCCGCAGGCAGCGCAGCGCCGGGGCCAGGCGGGGTTAAGGCAGCGAAGAGGCAGGCTGGGCCCGTGGTGCCGCGTGGTTCCGGTGCAGCCGCACGAGAGCGAGGGGACAGGGGAAAGGAGAGTGCAAAACTCAGCCCCATCCCCGGGGAAGGGCGCGCTGCGGGAGTCCCTCACCTGCAGCAGGCCGGGGGGGATGCCTCAAGAAGGTTCCATTCCCAGGTGCAGCCTTTGTGTTCCTGCAGCCCCCCCCCCCCCGCTCTCTGCCCCAGCCCAGGGGTGCAGAAGTTAGCAAAGAAGCCGAAGCCCAAACCCCCGGAGCGCAGGCAGGGGAGGGCACCAGCACCGTGTGTGTGCGGCAGTGGCACTGCCTGGGCCCGTCGGTCCGAGCCCGTGCTGCTGCCCGGCCTAGTGCTCCCTGCGCTCCCGTTTGAAGACAGCAGCCGCTTTCCAGGTAGCGGTAACCTGAGAGAGAAAAATCTCGTCCGGGAAGAGCTCCTCCAGCTCTGTGGCTAACTCGGAGCGTTTTGCATCAAGATAAGGCAGGAGCGATTCCTTCAGGCTGGAAAACAGAGCAGAAGTAGTGTTAATAAATGGTGTATAGAAAACTGCAAGTGCCACATGGCAGTAGCGTGTTCCTGAGCACAGCGGGGCAGTCATTTGCCAAGGGAACCATTTCCATCACGTGCATTTTTAGAGCCAGAGCAGCCTAAGTTAACAACTGTGGTGTGTTTGGGCTACACAGCTCTTACCTCCAGTTGGGTCTGAATTTATCCACAGCGTGGATGTGTCTCAGCTGCAAGACTATCATTTCATGGAGTTCCTGCAGGAAGGTTTCCAGCCTTGAGTTTACAAGGAAGGTGGTGAGGAGCTTGGAGGTCTCTGGAGTGAGCTCGGCTTTGTAGACATCATTGATGTCCACAAAAGGGTCCTAAAAATGCAGTTAGGGAATAAAACCAAACCGAACACACACATTTGAGCAACTTCCGTTGGAGGAGAGGGAAAAGCTGATGAGACAGTTACGTTATGAGGGTACCTTACCCTTTTGAGGCGCAGAAGCTGCTCAGATTTGCGGGTAGAGAGAAGCCGCCACAGGGCTATGTTGTGCTTTAGGTGGCATTGTCTGAGGGCCTGAAAGAGAAAACACATCTATGGAGTGACCCTGGGTGTAAAGGATGTATTTAGGAACCTGGCCACACCCTGCCATGCCCATGCAGCCGAGCACAAGGCAGAGGGAGGGAGTTCACTGAGCCCTTTTCACCCAGGTCTGCAATAGGCTTCTCTCCCTCTTCCCCATTTTGCCTTCAATAATCCATCTTTCTGGCATCATGAAAGGGAGTGGGAAAGTGATTGGGCCCTGTCACACGTACTTGTCATAACATGGTGCCTTTGGCCCTTATCAGTCAAGGGCCTCTTCACACATCATTAGTGGATAAAACCTTGCCCTGTCACCACTTCTGAGAGGTAAAGGGATATTTTCAATCCTGCTCAGCAGCAGCAAACCAGTGTCACTGAAAGCTGACTCATAATTGAGAGTTCTCCCTTTTCTCAGGTTTAGCACTGCAACTAATTATGCTGACACTCAACTGAGAATTCTCCTTCCTGGTGCTGACAGAAGAACTTGGATCTGCAGAGAAGTCTGACCTTCTGCACATCCTGCACCTGACCCTTCTGTAGGGTTCTGCAAGAACCTGCTGAGCACCACAAACTATTAGATGCTCCCACTGGTTGCAGGGGAAGTGAAAATTGTTTCCTCCCTGATGTTGAATACAGTGGAGAGGGAATTCTATCACCTTTTCAAGCTGAACTTGTGCTGGGCTTGGAGATCAGACTGCCTGGATTTTATCCCATAATAATAAGAGCTTTGCTCTCAGGACTCACCTGCAGTACGTGAGGGTTTGTCTGGTCACCCATGTGCAGAACTTTCTCGATGTAGTCTGTCAAAAGCATTTCTCGATGCTCTCCAGCCATGGCCAGGAATCCCAGGGTAATTTCGGTGACAGACAGAGCATCACAGACATCACTGTAAGACTGTAGTTCTCCACTGATCATGTTCATCACAGAACTGGGGAGAGCACTCTGAAAACCATGAAGTCAAAGCAGTTGCCAGCATTAGTTTGGAGGCAATCCTTATTTACTGCTCAAGTTGCTAAAGCCATGGAAGATGGCAGAGGCCCTGATTTAGGAAACTGACAGTGCTTAAGTGTATCCCTTTCTTTCTTAAATCCTGACTGACAGAGGGCACCCGTTCAAGGCATGGTGAGAGATTAGTGGACCAGCCTTCAGAGGACAAACCTGACATTTCTTGGGACATCAGGGATCATGTGCTTGCCCCGTTTCCTCCAGTGCAGAAACCCACCTGATCCACCTTATTCCTGACATCATTGAAGAGCTGTTCGTAATTCCGATCATGTCTGTACACCAGGGTGGGTATTCCCTGTCAGGAGAGAAACCCACAGCTGTAAAGCTTTGCTTGTCCCATTACAGCGCATGCCCAGCTGCAGCAAACACTGCAGGGCTCCAGCAGCAGCTGAGAAGTTGTCTGCAGGAAGCATAGCTAAGCTGCCTTGTCCTACCGTTAAGGTGATGAGTGGTTTCCCCTGCAGGAATTTGCTGATGACTTGCTGCTGGATCTTCTCCAAATCAAAGTCCTGCAACGTCTCCCCTCCCTTCTCCATGCTGTACTGGCAGTTGGACAGGATCAGAGGAATCAGGTCTTTCTCAGCCTCATAACTGATCAAGTGCAGGTCAGCCACTTCTGAAGGACTGATCAAGTACCTGCAGAAGAGAAAACAGCCTCCATTTAGAGCAAGAAGCCTTTATGAAGCAGGAAAAGCTGGTTGTGCTGTAGCAGATAATACAACAGAGCCCCCCAAAAATGCCTAGCAACATACCTATCATCTTGCTTGATGTGCTTGTTCACCGAGTAGATGAAGTCATTGTGCAGACTAATGAGGTAACTGGTTAACGCTGTGGAGCAGAGGCCCAGTCCCCGTCGACGTGGCAGAAGGACCTCAAACTTGCTGTCCAGGGTCAGGTCAGCCTTACAGTAGCCTTCAGGAAGCTTAATTTCCCCTGAAATAAAAGGCAGAGAAGACTGCTTGAGGTGACCCAGAGCCAGCCCACGATGAGCAAGCCTCTCCTGAGCTGACCCATGTCAGGAGAAAGTACAGAACTTGAGCAGAGCAGTGCTCTTTCCCTTATAGATAAGCACGAAAGGGAACAAGTTCAGGCGAGACTTTCGCAGAAGGGAAACAAATTCTTCCCTCTGCACTCAGATCTTCCCAAACCTTTAATGGGCAGGGTCAGTTCTGAGCATATGTCTCAACATCTTTGATAGAAGGAACTTGAACTGGTGAAGAGCAGAGGAGCACTGTTAAACAGCTGGGAAGCCCTTGTTCCTATCGCCCTCAAAACAATGCTGGGAAAGAAGAGGACTCACCATTGGTGTCCAGTGAGCTTCTCAGCTTGTTCCAGACAGACAGAAACACATTCACTCTCCTCTGTAACAGTTCCCTCATCACATCTGAGGAGTAACAGAAAGATGTGCTTAAGTACAACTGAAGGAGTTACCACAAACCATCTGCATGCTGCTCATGAATGGAAGGACATCTCTTCCACCTTTAGGCAGGCCCTACTCTAGGACAGAGCTTAAAAAGTTAAGTAAACGCACTGCTGCATTGAGGGATTTATCTTGCCTATCTGAGCTGAGTCCCCTCTGTCCCTTGTGCACAATCTTCCTGTGCTTAATTGTCTTTAAAGTCACCTGATGACTTTTCCAAGTTTAACTCCAGGGTTAAGGTCTCCATAAGAAAGGAAAATGAGGGCTTAAGATTGCAGCTCAAGAGAACTTTCCACCTTCATTTTCAACTGGACTATCCGGTGCTTTTTGTTTCCCCAGTTAGAGTTTTTTCAGAGTCTTCTCACCTGAGAGGGGTTCGTTGAGGAAGTCTCTGATGGAGCCATGTTTGACATCGGCGGTGTTCTGAAATCGCCTCACCAACTCTCTCTGCAGAGCCAGAATCTCTGGTAAGAACTTCACCAGCCTCAGTTCTGTTTCCTGGAAGAGGAAAGGGGGCCTGTGAGGAAGCTTGTTCCCAGATGAACCAGGTTTGAATACTTCCCATGGAATTACTTTTGAAATATTTGTAATGAAAACTATTTTACATGTGCAGTACTCGAGATTAAAGTTATGAGAATAGAGACTGTATAATCAAGTGGTGCCTTAGTCCTGGGTAACTGGCTGTAGGGACAACCAGCCTGAGCAGGGTTGGACCTGACAACCTCCAGAGGTCCCCTCCAGCCACAACCAGTCTGGTTCTGTGAACTGATCTCTGACCATTGCAGCCTCATCCCTGTGTCGCACCCACCTTCTGCAGGAACTTCCAAAGGAGAGGGACACTGTCCTTGGCATTCTTCTGCTGGACTACATGGCCCAGGTTCTCCACTGAAATCCTCTTCCGGCAGCTCCACATCTTGGAGTGATGTATGTGACTGTCCCTTGGCAGCTGGGACAGGAAAGTGGCTGGGTCACCATACACGATTTTCACTACTGGATTGGAACAAATCCTCTCGTCCTTTTGTATTTGTCTGTTTAGCTTCAGAAGTTTTTTGTCCAAATCCTGCATTAAAAAACCCAACCAAAGAACGAGATCAGAGCTGGCAGTGTCCTGCCACACAGAACCGCCAGAGTCTGTTTCCCTAAGAGCTTGATGACCAATTGACACAAGTATGTCAGAACAGAAGATGAGCTCCCAGGGATCATATGTAAAACATACTGCAAGACAGCATAATAAATGATAATAAAATAAATATTATACAATTAATATTAAAAATAAATATAATAATAACTAAATGATAATAATAAAATAATAATAACGTTATTTTTTGTTCTCCAGCTCATCCAGCTCACAG